TGCATTCCACAAAGGCACTGAGCCCAGCTCCACTTGGGTGACAAGCTGTCTGAATGGCACAGCAAGAGGAAACCCAGGCCTGAAATGATCTCCCTGCCTAGCTTTGTGCAGCACCATACTTATCATTTGATGCAATTATGTCATTAACTAATTTGCAAATTTGCATAGAACCATTAATTTAATCTTTAAATAAATAGTATGGATTTAGTGCTGGTGAAAGCGCTCCAGATTAACTGCTTGGTGAATGAAGCTCTCTGCTTATCTGTGAGACAGCAGCAGGACGAGCTTTATCCACACACTGCCCTGCCAGCACATTGCAGTGTTGATTTGACAGATATACGCACAGCTTCATCTGAGAACTTTGAGGCAGGAGCTCAGTTCCATGGCTCACACACCTCGTAATCTCTTGGGCCAATTAGTGCACATAAGGGCAGAAAGTCTCGCAATGAGGGTGGCTGGAACCAAGCCTCCCTGCAGTTACTGCACTTGAATTTCAAGATCGTCAGAATTAAATTGATGAGCAACACATCACAGGAAGCCAGAAACATCCCCTCTGCAAAATGAGCATTACACAGCTGTGAGCAGCCCCAGCAGAATAATGCCTTCACACATTCTCCCGCTGTCTTATTGTCCTATGCCACCCACCTCTCCAAAACTATTTATACTATGCTCTACACAAGATGCTCACACCTCCTTAGAGACGGGGAAGACAAACGAGGCATCCTGTGGGTGCACTGTGACAGTGCAACCAATTGGACTTACTAGGGAGCTACCCTCACAGAAACTGCTCTCTTTCCAGCTGCTCTGAAAGGCAGCGGTTGGGTTGAGGAGGAGTGGGAGATCCATCGATCCACCTGCTGGTGGATGGAGCTGGATCCTCTCATCTACATGTAATAACTGGGTGGATTGGCAGATAACAGCCCTTCTCTGTTCAGCTGGAAAAAACACAGGGCCCACACCACGCAAGGAGGAGGATCCACGCTTTGTGAAATTCCAGGGCAGTGACATAACCATGACAACTGCTGTTCTGCAATCACGGCCCTGAGGACTAGGAGACAGCTGTGGCCAGCCACGGGGGATGGCAACAAAACCAGAGGCAGAAAATTAACAGGAAAGGAGTGAATTCACAGAATGGGATATGAAGACAGACCTTGCTTCCTCAGGGTTGCACGGGCAGCAGGGCACACCTGGACCAGGCACTTGCTTTTCAGCAACTCTTGTTATTCTCTGCAACCTTTCAACATGACTCTTGACAGAAAAATTACCAAATGTAATGCACTTGTGACTTGGTTAATTTGCACCTGTATCTAATTTCAGACTTGCTAGAATAACAGAGCAGTTCCCTAATCAGAACAAGAGGGGAAAAGAAGTCATGTCTGCTATTCGCAAGCATTTGTAGAGGAAATTGCCCCTGCTATAAACAGAGCCTTTTCACTGCTGGTGGATATGGCACAGAAGAGGCAAACTGGGAACCCACATCTGGCCTTGGATGTGAGCCCCTGGATTTCCACAGTGGTTGCTAATAGTGGCCTTCTTCTTCCTGCTTTCTGAGGGATGATGCCTCCGAATTTTCATTTTGGGACACTTTTGTGAGGGGTTTACTATGGCAAGAATGTCAAAGCCACTTTGCTTCTGGCAGCTCTCCCAGGATAATCATGCAGCCTAGTGTCAGAGCACTCAATCAGGTCCCTAAGTACTAGCACCCTCTTTGCTGGTCCCAAAGGGTCTTGGCCTGGACTCAGCCCGATGGCCACAGCTTGCTTCTCCTCCAGTGCCCGGTGTAAAAATGTGGGGGCTGAAATGCTCTTTCTGAAGAAAGAGCAAGGATGAGCTTTTATTCTCCCTTGTCCAGATTCTGTTCCCAGTCCTTCTCAAAGTGGTCCTACCCACCTCAGACACTGCAGCCTCCTCTCTGCAAGGACCTCCTTGCAGTATTTCCAGACACCCCTCACATCCCAAAGTCCCCCAAATGTATGGCCACGCTGCCCAGAGGCTATGACATGTGCCACTGACATACTACATCCTCTCAACTTCTACCTAGCCTTCTTCCTGCAGTCCACCTTCCCTCAGTGTCTTCAGTCATTCCTCCATTGCAGCCCCCACAGAGCAGTGAGTATCCCCAGCCACGTCCTCCCTGCAAGGAGCTGGAGGTCATAGAGGTCGTAGAAAAATGCAGCACAGAGCAGCCTTTTCACCTCTGAATGACCACTGGCTTACAACAGAGTAGCACAGGGATAGCAAATCAGGACACAAAACAATTTGAGATCTTCCAATGAAAGCGAACATCAATTAACATCAATTTCTTTGCCTGAGACACAAGTTAAGCACAGGATTGGGAATATGTAAGTCTGATGTTTCAACCTTGGCTTTCTCACTGACGTCTCATCTCTAACCCTGGTCATGCATTTTAATACTATTGCCTCAATTTCTTGTCTAAAGTAGGCTGATCCTCGATGCCCTGCCGTAGGCTGTTGTGATTCTGTAATTAGGCATGGCCTGTGGGTCACCGCAAATGTAAAGAGAAATATGTAAGCATTATCTATTTATAACAGCTTCAAAACTCAGTGTCCCGTGGCAGGAGGTGTACCACTGCAATGTACTCCAAGAGGAAATCAATCGGTCCTTCCACCTCGTGGCCCCTCTTCTCTCCACATGAAAGTGCTCATTTTGGCAGACTGTGCAAGGGATAGGCACCCATTACACCTGAAGCAAGCAAGAAGAAGAAATTTCCAACACTGCCTCACACCACAAAGGCATTTATCATGCTGTTATCCAAAGGGCTGTTTCTGCACTAGAATACATTCCCAGGAGGCATTTGCTCACTCACTGAGGGAGAGCTGTACACAGCATAACCATTGACCCACGCTGATCTTCCCATTGCTGCTGAAATCTCCTCCCAGTGATAACTGGCAGCAACAGAGCTTGGAGTCTTCCAAGAAGCGATTGAAGCAGACCAAGCCTAGATCTCACACCAGAACCAGAAGAGATGAAGACTACGGGGAGCAAGGCAAACTCGGGGAACTACACGTTGTGAACTGTAGACTTTCTTCATTTTGCAATAGGCTCCAGCAGACCTTCCACTTTGGTCAGCTGAAGAACTGTTTCACATTCACAGCACCTGTGCACCGATTCTTTCTTTCTGTGGTTTCTGTGCCAAATAGCCTTCATGTGACACTCTTTTGGCACGTTTAGAACAACCAGCACAGAAATACTGAAGCCTTCTCAGGCCACCATGACTTCTGCCACAGGAATGCAGTTCATCTCTGCACTTGCGAGATGAACACCTACATATCAGTTTGCATCTGTCAGTCCTCTTTCAGTCTTAGCAGAGGCCAGGCCCTGCATACACCAGGGAAACCAAACATCTAATCCCCAGAGGTGGTGCCTCCAGGGTAAGGTTGGAGGCATATTGGTGATACAGTGTGGGAGAGCTTTCGTTTATCTCAGGTTCCAGAGCTATCAATCCAGCGCTGCGGTTGTGAGATGCAAAATCTTTAATTAACTTTTCCGCGCTTGCTACCAGTGCTGACGGAGGTGGGTGGATGTGATTGTCGCTCAAGGGAGGATTCTCCCCTCCCCCTTCTTTTGAATTCCCAGGCAATTAGTGCTCTGTATAGAGCAACATAAATAGAGTTCCTCAGACCTGGAGGGTTTCATTTGGTTTGGTTTTGTTTGGGGTGGTTTTGCCCTCCTACCCGTTCTCTCAAATACCAAGCAATTTATAGGCCACTTTGCATTTATTTCCACACTCTTTTGCATCTTAACTGACAACCTACACGCTTTTTTAATTAAAACTTTATTGGCTTTTCCATAAGTGATATACCTATTGTAAGTGAGCACAGTTGAGTACAGATAACATGTGGTTTGTTTAGCTATCTTGCAGGAGATTATTTCTGTTATCATTGTAAGTTGATTATTGTAATTATTGAAAGAGAGAGGGCTGAGAGAGTGAGCATACAGAAGGAAAATGGGGGGAATTAAAAGATAATAATAAAAGATAATAACAGTCTCGTTTGTTCTTATTTCTTTCTCTCGATAATGTACTGTACATGCTAAATTCCAGTTTAATGTTAGAGTTAGTCCCTCCTGTTGCTAGCACACCCCCATCAATAACACAAGGTCTTTAAACCCTAGATGCCTGCAATTAACTTCAATAGCAAAGAATGCCTGGGATTGTCTCTCCCCTTAGTACCGCCAGCTTTGCCAAAGCCACAGAATGCTTCTTTTCATCTCTCTATTCTGAATTTAGTTGAGTTTTTTAACACTCCTTTCTAGAAGTGTATGGCTTAAACATACATAACATTGAAGATAAGAATTACATGGAGGGGGGAGAAGAGAAAGATTATGCATTGCACCAGTAACCACACCATCCTGCCAGCCACTCTGAGGCCAGCATGTGGGATGGGAAGGCTGAAAACCCTTGAAGCCAGTTGCAACACAGGGTGAAACACAGTGCTACCTTGCTCCAGTCACAAAGGACCTATTTTCCAGAGGCACTGAACATCCCCCACTCCTGAGAAGTACAAAGCAATTTGAAGATGCTGGGCATCTCTGAAAGGCAAGTTCTAGCTATCCCAGATGAGGAGTCTTTTTTGTACACTTTAGATTGCAGCTGACCAATGCTTACACCGAGTGCTGGAGAAGGATACCAGAGAGCTGCCTTTTCCCCATCTTACCTTTTGCTGCAGTGGGACATGGAGAGACTCCCTCATAATTCAGAAAGTGCTGATAAGGTGATGTCTTAAAGATACTTCGGTCAAGACTACTAAACCTTTCGCAGACTAGAAATTTGCATTTGACTATGTGTCCTCTTAAAGCTTGAGGAGAGGGTATGGCACAATGAGATTATGCTCTTGAAGTGGTTGGGGAAAATCACTGTTTCCCACACCTTAGAATCACACAATCATTAAGGTTGGAAAAGACTTCTAAGATCATTTCATTCAACCATCAATCCACCCCCACCATGCCCACTATGTCCCTCAGTGCCACATCCACACAGCTCTGGAACACTTCCAGGGACAGTGACTTTGTGCCCAGGTAGGTCAGCAGAAAAGGGAAAAGCATTGGTCCCTGTGGGACAGCACCACAATTAGCCATGGGGCATATGTTCACATCTCTCCAAACCAGCTTTGTCCCACCAAATCATTCACTCCAGATGGCAGCCCCTCTCCTCATGGGGCCCGGCAAGGATTCACGGTCAACAGAGTCAAATGCTGCAGAGTGATCAGTATCTCTTTGCAGGAGATCTGTCCTCTTGCCCTCAAAATCAGCTTTGTTTAATGTCCTGGCCTGACTCCAGCAGGAGCTCCTGTGTCATTCCAGGAATACTGCAAGCAGCAAACCTTGCTCAGGTCGGGGGTCAGCACTGTAGGTCTTCAGCCATTCAAATGCTTCTCAGAAAATCCCCCCAGCAGACCAAGCCCCGTGAAAGTGACCTGAAAAATAAAACCCAAGAAATCAATGCTGTGCTCTTTACAATTTCTTTGCGGTAAATAAATACTGCATTACCTACACCATGCTCACATTAAAGGATTTTCTTCACTGCGGGCAAGTTACTCGCATCAGAATATTCAGTGCTTGCTTCCCCTCTTTGCCAGAGGACCTGATCTGTGATGTCTCATGAAACTTCAGAACGCACTGTAGCTCTCAGCTCCCTCACACAGAAAGGGAGAAGTAACAAGCTGTGTACCCTTGCCCACCTCTCAGGGAGAGGGAGAGCCACAGCCCGTGTTATTGCTTTGTAATGACACCTCTATTTATGATCACAAAACTTCTTGCCAAGGTTCCGATAGCGAGGAGAAACAGGCAGGGCAGTACTTTGAAGGTCAAAACAAAATGGGCAGACTGAGACAGTGCTTGCTGTTTGCTGTGGGGGCATAAGCCCCTTGAGAGCGTCTGTGAGCCACAAAAAGCAATAGGGATCAAAACACAGCTTTCATTTGAGGGGTAGAAATCTGGAGATCACACTGAAAATAAGGTAAAAAATGACCAATTTTGCCATACTTTTTATAGAAGTACCCCGTCCTGATGTGCGTGTGGGAGGCAAAGAAGCTAAAGGGAAAATATTTTTAAAGGGAAAATACTTTTAAATTAACTCAGCTTTCTCAAACCATTCCTAATACACAAACAAGCAAAGAGGAAAGCCGAACCGTCACTCAGTTTCTGGATGCCGGCTCACATCAACTTTTATTTTTCAGAATTGATTTGCTTGTTTGCATTGTTCGCCATTTTTATGTTTTTGCTCCTGAAAATACTGTAAAAACCAACTAATGGGGGTACAAAATGGGAAGTTTTATGTTCATTGCAGAAACTTGTATATGATGCAATTTGTTAAGATCCTCGCCGCTCCCACAGCAGCGTGTCAGGATTGTCTAACACCCAGCCCTTGAGTCACAGTTTTACGGCGCCGATTTACAGCGTTATAAGTTTAATATAGTGGTGCATTGTAAAAGGGCTATTTTTTTTAATTAATATTTTAGACCCCAAGGAAAATACCACGAAGGCGCATGGCAGGAGGAACGCTATAATTTACACAGCGCCTGGAGCACGGCCACGGAAAATCACTTCCTAGTGATGGATCAGGATGAGTCCCAGGCACTGCTCGGCTCTGCACGGCTCGATTCGACCCGGCTCGGCTTGGCTCGGCCCGGCTCGAGTGCCCGGAGCAGCGCTGCCCCCTGCCGGCCCGGCTCGGAGCCGCGGCTCCCGCTTCCAGCCCCGTGGGTCCCGTGGGCAGGGCTTGGCTGCTTCGGGGGCCCGATGGCCGTGGGCAAATACACGCGAGTGGGGCTGCACGCGGGTGGGGGGATGTAAGCAGCTCCTCCTCCCCCACGTGCCTTCGGGGTACTGAGCGAACGTCATTAGGAAGTAATAATTCAAAACAAGATTGCTCTCTCTCGCTAATGAAAGAAATTTCTGCCTCCCACCCGAGACTATGGCAAGGAGAGAATAACAAAAAAATTCCAGAGACAGACCATTAATTCCCTTTGCTAGTGTTAGCATCAAACTATAAACAAGTGCACAATTTAAGATGTGCCATCCTTCATGCAGGGGGCATATGACAAAAACCTCAGGCTCCAGAGTTCTTTCTAGTATGGCTGATGCTCCTGGGAAGAAGCTCTGCCACACACCTGGGCCACTTCTATGAAACCTTCACCTCCCCAGTGGAATCGTAGAATCATTAAAGTTGGAAAAGATCTCTAAGGTCACTTCGTCCAACCATCTTTACCACTAACCATATCCCTCAGGGCTACATCCACATGGTTCTTGAACACCTCCAGGGACGATGACTCCCTCACCTCCCTGGGCAGCCTGTTCCAATGCTTTATTACACTTCCTGATAAAAAAAATTTCCCAATATTCAACCTGAACTTCCTGAGCCTGACAGCTCTTCTCTGAGATACCTTGGAAAACCCGTGCGACTCCAGGACAAGCAGCAGCAATGCCTTTGAATCTGCCATTCTCCAGTGAGCCATTTTCCCATCAGACTACAGGAAATTAACAGAATTGCCTGCAAAACTGAGCTGTTATCTTACAGCAGAGGTGGCAATGCCAAAGTAAATTGCAAATGCAAATTTCCAACAAAGGAAAGAGACTTTGGTTCTCACTGCAGCCCTCTCCCATTGAATGCCCTATAGCCCCATCATCAGCACTGTCTGTTGTTGGAATCAGCTCCAGCTCTTTTCTCTTTGTCACCCTTCTCTATTATCCTAGAACATCAATTTGTTTAATTGTTTGTAATTAACTACTGATTATTGCGCACAGAAGTCCAAAGAGGATAATTAAAGACAGTTCTACCAACAGCAGTGGAAAGAAAGAGCCTGCTGTTGAAGAAGAGAGAGCAGTGCACAGCAAGCTCCTCTGCATGCACGTAGGTCCATGGCAGCAGCCTCGAAGCCCCAAGCAATTTCCTCAATAACTCCACCAAACGAGTTGGAGAAACCCTGCCTTCTGCCTTCTTCAGCAGCATCTCTTTTTAGACAGATTGTCAGTGGAAAACCTTTCAAGAAAATGTCTTGCTGTGAAATACATTTTTGTTGCTTGAAATAAAGGACATGGGCAAGTGCCGGAGCTGATAATACAAAGTGCCCACTCAGTCCTGTGTCAACACAGATCATTTTTAAACACAGTAATAGACAACATGGAGCCTGGAGGAAAAGCCTGAACGGAAGAAATGTACAAGTGATAAATTTAAACCTTGGAGGACAAAATGCTGAAAGCGGAGTTTTATTGAGGTAGAGGGTTTTTACCTCCTCGGTTACATCAAAAAGAATTGCGGGTCAATTAGAATGAAGAAAAGTCTTCCCAGTTGTATGTGCTACGCTGGCTCTAAACTCAGAGCCTCTCTCTTATGCCACCCATGAACAGGAACAGCCTGCAGCTGTGCAAAGGGAAAGAGAGTGAAGGAGTAGAGAAGGAAGTGTCTGGAGGGAGGACTGCTGTTTGTCTCTACAAACTTGTCAGATAGATAAAAATAGATAAGAGATAAAATATCTTTTCCACTTCCTAAATGAACCATGTGTTCAGGAGGATGAGTTCAGCAAATTCAGGAGATGAACTTGCTCCACCATAGGCAAGTTCGGGGCTCGGTACAGGGGCAGCTCAGGCAACATGGTTGTTTCTGCTGAAAAGAAGGGATATCCTGCCTTACCAAATTTGTATTTGTTCTCTCTCCTCTTCTCCCAGCCCTTGGGCCTCTCTTTTTCCTTGAGATAATTCCTATAGCTCAACAAATCCTACAGTGAACTATGCGAATCACTCACCCAGCAGGATATGATCCAATTTTCTGGGTTGTTTTTCTGCTATCTTGGGGATTTAAGGCCACTCAAGGTATGACACTGGTAAGGCAAGAAATAAAAGTCTTTCTCCAGAGGGTTGCCAAAGCTATGCCCAAGCCCAGTAAGATCAGTATTTTGCTAGAAACAGACCTTGAGTAAATCCTAACCTTGACCTGTATTTGGGTGCCTATCTCGTTTCCCTGATAAAACCAGCAATGCAGAAGTGAGCAAAAGAGAAGAATAAGAATAATAATTGAACTGCTTTGATTTTCAAAGAGAGGTTCAGGACAGCCCAGCTGTGAATATAATGAGCATTTTTTGCTTCCTCCGTAGAAGATCTGTAGGGGTCCCATTGATATAAAGATACGAGCTCAACAAACTGATAAGGCATGATTAGAGGAATGCTGCTATGGCAAAGTAAATTTTGAGACACAGACAGAAGGTTCTCCCTGGAAAAGGTAGAGCAAATTGCAAATTCTGTTGGTTTTGCTGAAATTTGTTTCTTGGCTTCATTTCATAAAGCTGAAGCCAAGGAACTGTGAACAGCTGGGATACCGGGGGCAGAGTGGAAGGGAGCGGGAATTCTGTGCAGGAGAAAATGCAAAAATTGAAATAGAATGAAGCTTAATACATGAAGGATGAACTCCGCTTTGACATTTTTAAAAATAATATCTCACACCCTTTAGACGTGATGCTAGATGCTGTAAGAAAATAGCCTTCCTCTGAAGCTCAGCATTTTAAAAGAAGTAAGGCTTATAATCCCATTGAATGTTTAAGTACTAACATGTTTAGCAGCTGTAAAAACCTAACTATAATGTATGGCTGTTTGTCCATTAAATCACATTATAGTGGGATGTATATTCTGCTTTACTCTCATGCCTGTCCTCAAAATCGGTATTTTCTCACTGAATGAGCCACTAGCACTGCACACATCTTGTTCAAGACCATGTATTTAGGGCTGGTCAAAAAGGATGTAAGAGACATCTTTGAAAGATCTGACCTCCTACCAGGCAGTTCAGCAAGACTTGAGCTGAGGTAAAAAAGAAACAGTTTTTCTTTTGTTAGAATTCAGGAAGCTAAGGGCAACTCCTGAAATACGCAGCTGTGGGACTCTCATCCGTGCCAGTGATGCAGCACTTTCCCCATAGGTTACTGCTTGATGCATCACGGTGCGATGGAAGGAGGGCTCTGGTCGTGGCTGGCAATGTTCTGAAGCCAACCAGGGTGCCCAGATTTCATTTACAAGCAATTTCTCCCTACTGAACTCCACTTGCTTTGTTCACAGAAGCATAGTATCACAGAGTATCCCGAGTTGGAATGGACCTACAAGGATCACTGAATCCAACTCCATCCAAAACCAATGTCTGAGAGCATTGTCCAAATGCTCCCTGAACTCCAGCAGTTTGGGGCCATGCCCGCTGCCCTGGGCAGCCTGTCCCATGCCTAACCACTCTCTGGTGCGGACACTGTCCTTAACCTTGCCTGACCCTCCCTTGACACAGCTCCATGCCATTCCCTGGGTCCTGTCTGTCACACAGAGCAGAGCTCAGCACTGCCCTTCTGCTCTCCTTGTGAGGAGCTGTACCCTGCCATGAGGCCTTCCCTCAGCCTCCTCTTCCAGTGAAGACTAATACATGTTTCATCAAAGTTCAGCTACT